CCCGCCAGGATGGAGGCACTCACCGAAGTATGTGGACCAGAAGACCAGCTGTGGGGAGAGCGCAGCATCAGCCAGCCTGTAGTGAGCAGGTGCCCCGCTCCCCGGGGTGCGACCCTCAGCGCCCATCCTCCGAGGTCCAGCCCAGCAGGGGTCACTGATGGATGGTCATGGCTCCTAGCAGCTGGATTGCCTTGCTCCCTCCCCGCCCCTCTGCGCCCTACAGATCAACACCCTCCGCGGGTGTGGGCACTGTGCAATGCAATCGGCACCTTGTATGGGCACCCCGACTCGGGACTCTCCGGCGGGGGCTTGCGCGGTGCAGAGCCAGGCAGGGGCCCCACCCCCACCAGGGTGCTCTGCCTCCTCGCAGCCCCTCACTCCCTACCCAGCTTTTGGGGTTTCCACATGCACCACTCTTTCCCTAAGGCAGTGTGGCCTACTCAGAAAGCCTGGGGTGCCAGAGTCTTGTTTGTTTTTTTTTTTGTGGGGGGGTTTGAGACAAGTTCTCACTATGTAGTTGAGACCGACCTGCAACTCACTATGTAGCCCAGGCTGGTCTCGCTCGAACTCGCAGCGATCTTCCTGCCTCAGCCTCCTAAGTGCTGGGATTACAGGTGTGCGCCACCATGCCCAGCTAAGAGTCTTGTTTCTAAGTAGGTCTCAAATGCTGCTGGGGCTGCCGATTTTGACCTTTAGGCTAGAGAGGACCGAAACCTCCCCTCTGCTCTCCCAGGTGGCTAGCGTGGCTCCCCGTGAATATGAGCTGAGGCACAGCATAAGTAAGTACACGTGAGGGCAGACCCCAGGGCCTCTCGGTCACACAGGCCCTGGCCAGAGCTGCAGGTGCATGGGTAGGAGTGGCCTGAGGCCTTGCGGTGAGCAGTGGGCAGTGGCTACTGGATGGCAGACTGAGCTCCCTGGCTAAGGGGTTGCTGAGAATCTCAGAACCCGAAACTCTTTCCTGGAGCTCACTGCAGAAGTCTGCTTCTTGTGCCCTGACCAAGGCTCTCTACAAGGGCAGCCTCTACTCGGCCACCCCAATGGGCTGGGAGGAAGAGCAGCTGGCGCCCGGTCCGAGGACTCTTAGGAGAGCCTCAGCAGGAGCACCTCCCCTCCAGGAGGAGCCTCACCGTGTCTTCCACACTCTGGAAAACTTCCTTGGCCTCCTCGAAGTCGCAGACCTCCTCGTAGCACTCCCGCTCCAGGTTGCCGGGCCGGACCTCCTCCAAGAAGGTGTTGGCGCGTTTGCGGATCCGCAGTACCTGGTGGGCGCGCCGGCCGCTGGAGAACACCGAGTCTGGATTCGGGGGAGCGAGGGGGCCGGAGAGGCATGGTCCACGGCCCCTCGGGCCTCGACCTAACTCCCGATGGTGGCCTGTGCCCTGCCCCGCTGCGTCATCTGACTGAGGGAGTGTGCAGAGCCGGACGGCCTCCCTCCAAATCTCACCCTGACCGTGTGACCTTGGGCCTGGGTTTTCGCGTCTGTAAACCTCTGCTCATCCAGAAAACAGGGACTCGACCTCATGTAAAACTGCCTGGCGTGGAAATAAGTCCTCAGTGACAAATGCCGCCTGCCACTGCCGCCGCTGCAGCTGCCAACACCGCGGCGACCACCACACAGTTCATTGTGCCACAACCCTTCCGAAAGTCGACCGGCCCTCCCGCCCTCAACGACCTCTCCCGAGCTCCTGCCACAGGGCGTTTCTCATCCCTGCCCCTGCGCCAGAACCCTGGGAACACGGAGACCTGCCCCTCAGCTTGCGTCCCCCCGTCTCCTGGGCTCTGGCGGGCGTCTGTCTCGGGACAGGAGGAAGGGCCCAAGTCAGGGCAGTGAGAGTGGTCAGAGGGAGCGGAGGTGGGAGATGAAGTCCCCCGGAGGTGGGGGCAGGGGAGTGGGGAAGGCCCCTAGGCAGGCAGGCGGCTCCGGAAGAGGCACAGATGCAATCATGGGTCCCGGGATCCTCCCAGAGTCATGGCTGCCTCCTGTGGGCTGTGGGCACTGAAGGCCATTTTAGGTAAGGCACGCAGAGCGGTGTGGGCAGAGGCCTGGGCCCGAGCCCTGCACTGCTGAGTAAGCGGTGGCACAGGAAAGCCCAGGCAACTCCGTGACCCACCCCAAGCCCCGCCATCACCTGCGTCTGCCCTCACAGCCCTTGGGTCGCACGCTCGGGCCTTGCAACCAATTCCCGCTGCTCCTCCCTCCCCTCAGATCACCAATGCTCAAAGGCACAGGAACGTGTACAGGCCAAGAAAACCCCTTGATATTTGAGGGTCTCCTGCAGGGACTCCAGGGTATGGGAGGGCGGCCTTACCACGAGGGACTGGGGTGCTGGAAATGCCCCAGATGGCCACGAACAGCAGCAAGCCTGCCAGCCGCCACATTCTGCAGTCGCCGACACCTGTCTGAGGAGGTCGTCTGAGCTCGCAGCCCCTACGCCGCACTGCTCTGTCCACAGCCTTCTAGGGGGAAGCCGAGTGCAGGGGCACATGGTACAGGGCCTGTGGACTGTGGCACTTAGGCCTGGGAGTGCCAACCCATGCTCTGACCTGGCTGGGGTAGGGCCCTAGCTTCTTTGACCCCAAGCTGTGCTTGAAGGGTTCCACCTCCGTCAAGGCTGAGCCCTTCGTGCCCTTCTACACCCTCCCATCTGCCTTGAGGGGCACTTACGGGGGTGGGCCCTGGAACAAGGCTGCCTTCCCACCGCCATGACAGCTGGAACTCGGTTAATCCATAACCACAAGTATTTGCTCGGCCCTCTCCCCAGAAGAGCAAACAAGCGATGATGCTGACGCTCTGGTCCCGGCCCTGACACGCGGGTCACTCAGGCTCACCTCTGCCCACAAGGGTGCTGTCTGCGAGGGAGGGAGGGTGGGCACTCAGAAAAAGTGACGGATGTGGCAGGCTAAGGGGAGAAGTTTTTATTGCAAAATGCTACAATACAATAGATAGCAATTTCATATTTTAAATAAAGAGGTGACTTATGTGCTACTATAAAAGAAAAAAGTCTATTATACCATGACAACTTTTTTTCCTGCCTGTACTAGGCAGGCAGTGGAACCACTGAGCTAAATCCCCAGCCCTCCTCCCTGTACTAGGGATTTAATCCAGGGGAGGATGAGCTAAATGATGGGTTTTTCTCTCCTTCTCACCCTCTCCCCTTTTCCTTTCTTTCAAAGGGGTCTTGCTAAGTTCACAGGCTGGCCTTGGATTTAGGATCTTCCTGCCTCAGCCTTGGAAATAGCTGGGATTACAGGCATGTGCCACCAGACCTAGCTTCACAGATGAGATTCCTGTGCAATACTGGCTCTGTTACCAGGTTTTGGTGGTGTTGGAGTCTCCCTCTACAGGCGACTTCCAGGTTCTTTCTGTCCTCGCAAAGAACCGGTCAAGCCAAGGGCAAAAAGTAGCGAGGTTGTACACTGATCAGTGAAACATGCAGAGCAGAGCAAATCTGGTTCAAGTAAAAGAAGCAAGAAAACAAGTCACTCTGTAGGCACGTGAGGAAGAGAAACAGGATTCTGAAAGGCTGCAGGAGCTCCTAGCTGGGACGTCAGGGAGGAAAGAGCAGGGCCTGGCTCGCAGCCTTACTGCGCCCCGAAGCCCGCCAGCCTTTGCTGAGCATCTTCCGTCCCTGGATGGGTTTCCCAGAGCGGCCCCGTGCGCCACTCCGGGGCGATTACACAAGGTCACCTGGCCCGGAAGCGCCATTCTCCGTGACGGGCCTTCCGCCCCCTTTCTGCCGTGCAAACCCGAGCGACAGGATGTTGAAGCCCGGGCTTGGTCTGCCTTGGGCCCTGGGGGAGGAGGAAGGAGGCGCGGAAGAGTGGGCGGGGCGGAGGGCGGGGCCAGCGCGGGGCGGAGCAAGTGC